TTTACCAGTCAGATGAGCAATACGCATTATTTTGATTTAGACTTTATACTTAAATATGGGCCTGACTGAGCATCTTTTTATCTGCCATTTAATTTCTTCCTTTGTTCATACTTCTTCAAACTCTTTTTCTAAGAGTTAATCCACTTTTATTAATAATTTTAAGAAATTTTTGCTTTATATATATATTGAAGAATATAACCCTTGCTTATAATATATATTCCAGGTACTTCATCCACCACTCTGCTATTCATCTTTGCCACATTTACTATTCATACAGTCAAATTTACCCATCTTTTCAGTTGTAACTACTGAACACAGAGTTTTTAAGTTAACAGATCTCTAACATAACACAATCGCCACAGATTCATCCTATCTGTGTTTTATTGGTGTTTCATGACATCTCAGTGTAGCTATAAAAAAAAATCCAAATACATCATCAGAGTTTTAATGTATAAGTGTCACTCTAACCCAGACTGAAGAAATTTTGCTGTTTCTATAATCTGGCCTTAATTGTCAACCCTAAAATAGTTAATAGTATACAGAGGCAATAAAAAGAATGGGCCTATAAGCTTCTGTATCTGATTCAACACATTAATTTAGTCTTGTTTGGCTTTATGCAAGACAAATACAACTATGAAAATGAGTGAGCAACAACAAAAACTCAACAACAACAAAAAATTTGCATAGATGCTCCAACTTGAAATTGCAGATCCCCCCCCACAAAGGAAAAAAAAAGTAGCTTAGGTAGGATTTTCAGCTGCCTTGGAATGAATATAAGGTATCACAGACAGCAGGAGGTGGCGGCACCAGTCCTTGAAGAAGTCCATGGAGTGCTGAAACCAACCAGCAGGCAAGGACGCCCACTCATGATGCCCAAACACAGGAATGAGTCCTTCACCGCACTGCTCCCCAAGGTCCCAACATTACCCATAAGCACTGGGCTATAACTTAATGATTGCAACAAAACCCACAATTATTTTTGCCCACAGAATTGGCTTCTAAATTTTAGAAAAGGAAAATTTGGAAATTTATGTGCCAGTCATTTTATAATTTTCCCTGGCAAACTACTAAACTGGCAAATTAGATGTAATTGTGTTGTTGATTTCATTTGCTCAGAATTATTAGGCTCAGCAATCCTCTTTGGGGCAATCAAAACTTACTTCCTCAAGCCAACGAACACTATTAAGTGCTTAATTATGTCATGTATCCACATACATTTAAAAAGGGAAGGAAATGACAGAAAAAATGGTGATTTAAGTTTTTAAAAATGTCTCTGAAAAGAGATTTCACTATTGTACCTAACAAGAGCTTTGTGTTTTTAGAATGTTTAAAAATATTTACTCCCAACCAATAACAACAAATTAAATATCCCCACTGTTATAAGCATCACATTAACTGACTCCCAAGGAAGAGTGAAATTACAGACTGTATGGCTGAACTGTGTGAGGGTGAAGGGCAGAGAGGAGAACCTGAGGACCTTTAATTTATGAGTGAAAGCCGGGTAGAAAAAGCAAAATTACAAAAACGTGTTGAGTAACAAACTGAAAATGGGCGGTAAAAGAAATCTGTGAGTTAATCACACTGAGTTGTTTTAAAACTAACAAGAAGATGATCTGATGAAAAAAACTCACAGATTTCCCCAAGTGATTCAAAATAACATATTATAAATAGATGAAAAAAAGCACATAACCCCAGGTCATGCTTGTGAATGGGCCAAAGGGGGAGCTGTGGCTTCACTTGCTGTGCCCAGTGATGGGAGCTGGCAGAGATTTAAGAGGGTGGTGACAGATGCAGTAAAAATGGCAGAAAAGAAAATGATCTCAGCTACAAGTAAGATTCTCAAGTCAAAGAACCACACCTATTGATGAATTAAGACTGCTAGTGAGCTGGAATTCAACAAGAGCAGAAACCACAGCCTGCAGCGTCACAAAGAAGCCTACAATAGGAAGCCAAAACATAAGCCTAGGACAAACCAAATATGAAGGCATCATTTAACTGAGCAAAAATAACAAACGCTTAAAAGCTCACAGGCGGAGACCATTGCACGCGCTGGCGTGACTGGGGAATTGCCTGATGGCTGGAGGAGGATGGCTGCTTTGGTAACAGGCTCAAACCCTTCAGAAGTTTGTTCAGAAAGGTTAGTGAGGCAAAGGGAGAGCTACTATTACTTGTAATACAAAGTCTGAAAGTAAAATGGCAGAAATGGTTTAAAGGCCAACAAAAACTAAAATACCGTGATTGGCTACAGTTAGTTTTGAGACTCATGAACCAGAGGCGACCTGTATGGCAGCACTTGACAACTTAAATCCCCTTCAGAGATCCCAAAATAAGGACACAAGTGAATAGATACATTATGTATATTTGCTCTCAAATGGCAATTTAAACAAAACTTATCTATGTATGAGCCTTGTGGCATAATTCAAAAACTGTAACTCCAGGATTCTTAACAGCTAGCTCTATCATGGATCTTTAAAAGAACTACAAGTTGTAAAACAGCAGTTCAGAAATCACACTAGCACAGAAAGTAATATAGTTCCCTTTCCTTTAGAGGTCTGGTGCAAGAAATTTGTGCGTGAGCACAGTCCCTAGGCCTATCCTGCAACCAGGGCCATCTTCCCTGGCTGCTGGCAGCCAGCCCTGCCCCCCGCCGCCGCCCACCCTGGTTCCTGTTCACCACTGGGCGATGGAAGCCTGACATCAGGGGAAGGGACTGAGAGGTCAGGCGTTCCCACCCACTCGCCGGCTCCGCACCCTGCCGAGGGTTGTCCTGTGTGTGTGGGGTGACTGGCGGGGCGGGGACCTTGGCTTGGTGCCACCCACATCCCATGCCCGCCACCAACCTGGAAAAAGACACCAAGAGGTGGTCAGTGCATCTCCTAGTGACTGGTCGAGGGGTCGTTCTGCCATTAGGGTCAATTTGCATATTACCCTTTTGTTATATAGGATATTTTTATTGATTTCAAAAAGGAAGAGAAAGGGAAAAAGAAACATCAATGATGAGAATCACTGATCAGCTGCCTCCTGCACGCCCCACAATGAGGATTGAACCACAACCTGGGCATGTGCCCTAGACCGGAAATCAAACTGTGACCCTCTGGTTCATAGGTCGATGCTCAACCACTGAGCAACACCAGCCAGGCAATATAATTCCGCATTGTCTTTTTTGTTTGTTTGCTTGCTTGCTTGCTTGCTTGTTCAATAGATAGAAACTGTTCCATGACTGAGGACGATATAAAAGCTAAACCTATGAGAAGGGAAAGCATACTAAGTTAGCAGCCTCGAGTCACCTACAGCAGCAGTGCTCACGAGTGGAGTTTAATCAAGCCCCACGAATGACTAAGATGGGTCAGCCTGGCGCTGGTTCTGATTCCTCAGAGTAAAGATGACATATTCGTATTACAGCTCGATGTCTGTGCCATGTGTGCAGACCAGGAACAAAACACTGGACAGTAGGGGACACGTCCATTTTGCAGTGTGTTGTAGGTGGCATCCCTACAGTTGTCTACCAACAGCCTGCCCACCCTAACCTGGTCATATTGGTTCTAGCGGCTTATGACGCTAAACCAAGATCTTGTGGGTTAATATGATAAACATATCATTCCTTCCTTACCACTTGCTTAATTTTAAAATGCCCTAAAACTGCCAAAAATATTGTCTGACCCAAACAACTATTTGTTTTATTGAAATAAAATATAGTTGATGCCTTTTTTTTTTTTTTAACATAATCCTGTCATGAGTTAACTTTCCTTTTTTTTAACAGAGTAGAGTGAGCTCATGACAACAGTAACAAACAACACCTGATGACTAATGAGACACCCTCGGAAGCCCCAGAAATGTGATCACCACCACAAAGAAGCTAAGTCCTCACTCCGTTTCTGGCTCAAGAAAAAAGTCTAACAGACTGTGGACAGCAGAGGTTAGTCAGCTGTGGCATTTAGTGACTCTGTGATGAACTCCAATATGTAAACAGAATTCATACTCGTTCCCTAGAAGTTAACATGAGATTTAGCACAGCCAGGGAATGGAGTCATCTGGTCAGTCTCTTACTGTGTGTCAGCATCTCCCAAATTTTTTCCCATGGAATATTAAGGGTGCCATGGTGAGTTTAAATGCCACAGCTATCCATGAGGGAGCATCGCTATGCCTATTGGCTTACTAAGGCTCTGAGAAGTCACACACTGAAGAAATTGGTTTTGTTAACCTAGTGTTTCCCATACTTATTTGTTCACTGTTTTTTTTTCGTTTTGTTTGGTGAAACATCAAGGATATGAGAAGAGTCTGGGAAATGCTACTCAAATATTACCATGGATATACGTACTAATAACTAAAATGTAACAACCAAACTAAAATAAGATTTAGCTGATGATTCAGAGTACTGAAGGAAACTACAGTTCAGGGTCAACAAATATTGGTTGAGAGCTCTACTTGGTAAAAATGACAAGGAAAATACCATTTGCTACATATTCAGGGATGCCAGAAACCAAGGACAAAGAGCACAGTTTCTGTAGTACACACTGTCACGTAGCACACAATTCTCATAAAATGTTTAAAAACATATCAATATTGGAGCTGAGAACGTTTTAAATGCTCAGTAAGAACATAAATATACTTCTTTTAAAACCAATTTATTAGAAAACAACTAAGTGTCTAGGACTTCAGGAGCTCAGAACCTTAACAAGTCTCTCCTTGTGTTATGGACTACATTGGAATTATCTACTGATACCAAGACAATGGCACCTACTGAAGATTATTACAATACTTACCACATTACAAAAAGAATCCAGACCAATGCTATGTACATACTTAGTACATTCTGGATTAGACCAAGTAAAATTTAACAACAAGCTGAACAGCATTCTATAAAACAAAAACAAAAAGTCGGTTAGGCTAATTCTGGCTGTTTTTCTGTGCTACGGACTCACAGTGAGAAAGAAGACTGTCTTGGAATTTCATGACGGAACCAAATCTGAGTTCTTTCTCTAAAGTTTATCTACATTTACCTTAAAAGAAGTTCTTTTGGTAACTTTCTGTTAATAAGGCCTTCATCATTATTTGAGAAAACCTAAAGGAAAAAGAAAAAAGGAAAACTGTTAGTACTCCTCGATCATTTTTTTTTTTTAAGTTATGTGTTTCTTAGATCAGAACAGCCCCAATCAAAATCAAAAAAGGAAAACTGTTAGTGCTCCTCGATCATTTTTTTTTTAAGTTATGTGTTTCTTAGATAGAACAGCCCCAACGACATTCTCAAGTTAGCGACTGTCCTATAGGTATGACACCAATTTCATAAAGCCACCACACTTCAATATGATAGCTATAAGAATAGTTATACCCTCTCACTGTTTTTATAAAAACGGTAATATCCATTTTTATACTACTTTGTATTGGCAGTTCTAACCAAGGTTATTAGGCAAGAAAATAAATAAAAAGCATATTGATGGAAAGGAAGAAGCAAAACAATCTCTGTTTATAGGTAACAATTTTGTACCAGTATATAGATAATTCTAATATGTCATAGAAAATTCTATCAGAACTAATCAAGGAATTCAGCAAGGTTGCAGGATACTATATAAAATATACAATGTAGTTATTATATAAAAATAAATTATATTTCCATATATTAGCAATGAGCACCTGAAACTGACATTAAGAAAACAATCTTATTTACAACAGCATTAAAAAGAATAAAATACTTAAGAATAAATTTAATTAAAGAAATGCAAGACAGCCCAGGCTAGTTTGGCTCAGTGGATAGAGCATTGGCCTGCGGACTGAAGGGTCCCAGGTTCAATTCCAATCAAGGTCACATGCCTGGGTTGCTGGCTCAATCTCCAGTAGGGGGTGTGCAAGAGGCAGCCAATCAATGATTCTCATCATGATGTTTCTATTTTTCTCTCCCTCTCTGAAATCAATCATTTTTTTTTTAAAAAAAAGGGGGAGGGGAGTACAAGACATATATTGAAAACTTATATAAAACATTGAGAGAAATTTAAAAAGATAAATACACTCACATCCCATGTTCACAAATTGGAAGATTTAAGTGGTAAGTTAGCGACATTCTCAAACTGATCCAAAGATTTGATGAAATCTCTATAAAAATGCCAGCAGCCTTTTTATTGAAAAGTTTAAAAGTTGATCCTAAAATTAATATGGAAATGCAAGAAATCCAAAATAGCCAAAATAAAGTCATGCACTGCCAGACGATGCTTGGGTCAATGAAGTACCACCTATACAATAGTGGTCCCATAAGATTATAATGGAACTGAAAAATTCCCATCACCCTAGTGATATCACAGCCATCATAACATCGTAGTGTGATCGTTACTCATGTCATTTGTGGTGATGTTAGTGTACAGTGTTTATAAATTGTGGAGGAATTGGAACACTCATACACAACTGATAGAGCCATTTTGGAAAACAGTCTGGCAGTTCCTCAAAGGTTAAACATTAAGTTACCATATGAACCAACTAGTCCAACAACAGGTAATATGTCCATATAAAAACTTGTACATGGATGATCATAGCAGCATTATTCATAATAGCCAAAAAGTGGAAATAACCCAAATGGCCATCAGCTAATGAATAAAGTGTGGTATATCCATACAATGGAAAATTATTCACCAATCAAAAAGAATGAGATACTGAGAACCCAAAATGGCGGCATAGGTAAACATACCAAACTGTGGCCATGCACAACAATTTCAAAACTACAACTAAAAGACAAAAGGTCTATCACCCAGACCCACAGGAGGGCTGGCTGAGTGGAAGCTCTACAACCAGACTGAGAGGGGAGCACTCAGTGTACAAACAGTGAAAAAGTGAGGTACAGGAGCGCACGATACGGGCTGGCAATGGATCCCAGCTGGTGGCGGGCGTTGCTTTCTTCAACCCAAAGGGGAGACACGCGAGACCCAAACTCCTATGGGGAGAAGCTGGACTGTCTGCCATCACGGAAAGTGAGGGTGACTGGCTTGCAGAGCTACACAGAGGAATAATTGTTTGCTGTGCTGGGCAGTGAGACTCGAGGCACAGGATGGCTCACTGCCAGACATTGCTGTTTGCCATGCCCTGGCATGGTGACGCCCTGAGACACTGCCCTGCACAATCTACAAACACACCCAAGCTCTAAGCAGCGGCTTTTGCATATGAATGGCCTTCACTATCACTGCTAACTTGCAAACAACAGCTCAGACAGCTCCATAATCTACAAATCTCAAGCAGGGAGGAGAGGACTATAGTTCTTGCTGTAGCTTCTACAGGGTGACCTTAGACAGTAGCTGACCTATACCCCACTGAAGATCCAGAAGCCAGTGTACCTAGTGGTCAGTGTGGGACACAGATTTCAACTCCTCACATACATAAGTGACTCATTCAAGAGGCAGACTCAGTGAGCACCAAAGCCCCACTAAAACAAGTCCTGCACCATGAGCGTGTCTCCAGTGCAGCAGTTCTATTATAAACACAGCGGGTCCCCACAGCCAATTGGCCTGGAGGACAATTCCTTCCAGGGTACCAACAGCAATCAAGACTTAATTACACCAAGACTTTGCACTCAGCCCACAAAGGGATGTACCAAGATCGTCCACCTCGGGTGATTGGGGAGGCTGAGTTACTGGTTCCTATGGATCACCTACCACACAAAGCCACTCCATTAACACAGGGAAGCATGTCGCAAAAGGGAGCAATGGAGGAAAGCAAACTATGGGATGACAGGGAGTAAAGGACCACATTTATAAGGTTACTCAAGAATCTTCTAAAAACTACTGAGAAACTTGATGAGATCTTCAAGAACCTTAATGAGAATGCAAAAAAAAATTTTTTAAAAATGGAAAAGGACCAGTCAGAAATTAAGAATACACTGTCTGAAATAAAGAATATACAGAAACTCAACTATAGATCAATGTACCCTAAGAATCAAACCAAAGAACTGAAATACGAGGAAACAAAAAAACACCCAACCAGAAAAACAAAAAGAAAAAAGGATCCAAAAATATGAATATAATGTAAGGAGGCTCTGGGACAATTTTAAGTGTACCAACATCAGAATTTTTGGGGTGCCAGAAGAAGAGAAAGAGCAAAAAATTGAAAACCTATTAGAAAAAATAATGACAGAAAACTTTCCCCACCTGGTGAAAGAAATAGACTTACAAGTTCAGGAAGGGCACAGAACCCCAAACAAGAGGAATCCAAAGAGGACCACACCAAGACACATCATAATTAAAATGCCAAGGGCAAAAGACAAAGAGAGAATCTTGAAAGCAGCAAGAGAAAAACAACTAGTTACCTACAAGGGAGTACCCATATGACTGTCAGCTGATTTCTCAACAGAAACTATGCAGGCCAGAAGGGAGTGGCAAGAAATATTCAAAGTGATGAATAGCAAGAACCTACAACCAAGATTACTCTCCCCAGCAAAGCTATCATTCAGAATTGAAGGTCAGACAAAGAACTTCACAGACAAGAAAAAGCTAAAGGAATTCATCACCACCAAACCAGGATTACATGAAATGCTGAAAGATATTCTTTAAGAAGAGAAAGAAGAAGAAAAAGGTAAAGATAAAAATTATGAACAACAAAAGGACATCAAATACATACCTACCAACAAGTGAATCTAAAAATCAAGTGAATAAAAAGTCTGAAGAATGGGGGGGGGGGGGGGGGGGGGAGGCCAATCGTATATGTATACAGATAATAATTTAATTTTTAAAATTTTTTAAAAAGTCTGAAGAACAGAATGAATGGACTGGTCAATATAATGGAATCAGGGACATAGAAAGGGAGTGGACTGACAGTTCTCAGGGGGAAGAGAGTCTGAGGGGTGTGGGAAGAGATTGGACAAGTCTTACACCTATGGATGAAGACAATAGTGGGGGGTAAGCGCATGGAGTGGGGCGGGCAATGGGGTGGAGGGGAGCTATGAGGAAAAATGAAAAAGGAATACCTGTAATAATCTGAACAATAAAGATTTATTTTTTTTTTTAAAGAATAGGTACTAATATATATTACAACAGAAACGAGCCTTTGAAATACCATGTCACATGAAAGAAGACACAAACAAAAGGCCACATGTTGTATAATTCTGACTCCACAAAAACTTTCCCAGTCACTGCCCTGTTCCACCTCCTTCGACACCTCTGCTCCAGTCCCATCCCTTTCATAGCCACTTCAGTGCTGGAAGTGGCAGTGCTGAGGCAGACAGTACAGGGTACAGGTGAGACACAAAACGAGGTAGGGAAGGCAGAGGTCCATGGCTGTTCCTATCTGAGTTTTGTTGGTCTGTGGAGGGGGGACAGGGTGGTGGTGGTGAGGAGGGTAGTCAAGTAAAACCTGCAGGTGTGATTAGACATTGCAAATAGAGAGTTTATCATAAAATAAAAAAGAACTTGCTGGCTCAGCTGATAAGACTCCTAATCTTGGTGTAGTACATTTAAGCCAGGCACTGGGCACATTCTTTAGTTTGGAAAGAAGCCATGGTATAAAGGCTAAGAAGCCAGACTTTGAAGACCGGTTGAGTTCAAATCCTGGCTCTGCTACTGGCCAACTATTTGACCTTGAGCAAATTGCCTAATCAATCTAAGAATGTTAAATGGGTATAATGCCAATCTTCTTGGGATAATGGCAGGATTAAATGAGATGTGAAATAATCAGCCTAAAACTAGGCAAGTGAAAGGCTCTATGAAAAAGAATTATTGTTACAATTAAGTACTAAAAATTATGCTCCCCAGTACAGACAAAAGGGAGACCAAGTCCAGCTGGCCTGGCTCAGTGGTTGAGCATCGACCTAGGAACCAGGAGATCATAGGTTCAATTCCCAATCAGGGCACATGCCCAGGTTTCAGGCTCAGTCCCCAGTAGGGGGAGGGGGTGTGCAGGAGGCAACCCATCCACGATTCTCTCATTGATGTTTCTATCTTTCTCTTATCCCTTCCATTCTGAAATCAAGATATATATGCCTATAAAGAAAAAGGGAGACCAAGACTGTCAAGAGAAATAAATAAATAAATAAATAAATAAATAAATAAATAAATAAGAGAAACCTCTTCTTTTCACAATCTATTAACACAGATCTCATTACATAAGCTCTCTTGACTATATGGCAAATAGACCAAAACTGTAAAGTTTCCCCTCCACCTTGTGCTTCCCAACACCAGCATAGAAAGGAAAGTGCCAAAACAGGAGCGGAGCCAAGAGAATAAATGAAAATGGGAAGACTGTATGATCAAGTATTAAGCAATAACAAAAACGTGATGGCAATCAATGTCCTAATGCACATTTTGACTCACATGAATTAAAATTTAAACCATTGTTTGATTTTTTTTTGCAACAATTTTAGAACATACAACTAAAACAAATGTAAAAATTACTATTAGAAAAAAACTTGGAAAATAAATTTTTTAAATATATATTTTTTTATTTTTTACAGAGAGGAAGGAAGAGGGATAGAGAGCTAGAAACATCAATGAGAGAGAAACATCAACCAGCTGCCTCCTGCACACCCCCCACCAGAGATGTACCCATAACCAAGGTACATGCCCTTGACCAGAATCGAACCTGGAATCCTTCAGTCTACAGGCCGACGCTCTATCCAAAACGGTTTCAGCAGAAAATAAAAAATTTTACTTTTTAAACATTTTATCCCAAGTCTAAATGCCTTTATATAAGACATTGGTCTTTGTGATTCACAAAAGGTAGGTGTCATTTCCTGAACACAATCTGAAATGACAGGAGGAATATTCAATACTATTACAGCCATGAATATGAACCCTAATCTAATAACCTGTCTTCATCAATTCCTCATTTCATCTTTGTAAAAGAGGGAAGGGAGAGGGAAAGGGGGGAAAGACTAGGCCAGGCGACTCTGCTCTGTAGCATCTATTCCAGTGCCAAGAACAACAAAATACAATATTCATTAAGTGCTCAAAACATTAAAATCTAAATAAGAAAGAAAACTACTTTCCTAACATATATATGGCAAACATATTGGGGACCATATAATGATACAGTATATATTACAGTATAATCCAGTGTTTACATTATCAGTTTCTATGACAAAGTGCCTGATTTTGAAATGTGGCTCAATTTATCATCTGGGTGACCTGGGCAAGTTACTTTACCTCTCTTTGCCTCAATTTCCTTGTCTTTAAAATGGAAAAATGGTATCTTCCTCCATAGGGTTGTTGTGATGGTTACATAAGACATAGGTGCTTAGAAAATATCTCACACATAGAATATACAAAATAAATGTCAGCTGTCACTATTTTTATAGAAGCAATAGAAGAGGCTTAACTACAGAAAATTTCATAGAGTTAAAACAGAATTCCAAAATTCACATGCAAAGTCATTTATCAGCTTCTAAAGTTGTGTGTTTAAAAGCAAGCATTTAATGACGGGTAATGCTATAATCTTGAATACAGTTTTGGGGATCATATAGGCAGCCTCCTCCTGTCCCCTCCTATACCAACCATTCATTTCCCACCTTCCTTGGAGCCCACACATCAGCTTTTCACTCAACTGAATTCCTTCCAAGAAATAAATTCTTAATGTTTAACAGTACACAAAAAGCAAAGCATTTCTAAGTCTAAAAGCAAAGCAACCACTAATATACTACAGCAAAATGCTTTTATTTTAGCATCAATAAAACTCCAAAATTCACAAGTGAATAGAGGTGAACTGTCAGAATAGAATGGGTGGAGGAAGAAGAAAAAGAAAATGGCCAGTAGGAGGAATACAAGATTTCAGAGAGCTATGGACACTAATTCCTGAATATGCCTCCTTTCTCCCTACTATATCTGTCAATGTATGTATATAAAAACCTAGTATGCAAATTGTCCCCTCGGGAGTTCGACCAAGACACCGGGAGTTTGATTGCTCACTATGGCGTGGGCTGACCACCAGGGGGCGGCATGGAACGAAGGAAGGCCCTGATCAGCCCTGATTGCCTGCCAGACCTAGGGATCCTACAGGTGCTCAAATTTCATGCACCGAGCCTCTAGTAAGATATAAAAGCAAATCACTGCTAGATTTAAAACACAAGAGCTTGCCAAAACCGGCTTAGGTCAGTGAATAGAGCATCAGCCTGCGGACTGAAAGATCCCAGGTTCGATTCTGGTCAAGGGCATGTGCTTTGGTTGCAGGCACATCCCCAGTGGGGGGGGGGGGTGCAGGAGGCAGCTGGTTGGTGTTTCTCTCTCATTGATGTTTCTAGCTCTCTATCCCTCTCCCTTCCTCTCTGTAAAAAAATCAATAAAATATATTTTAAAAATAAATAAATAATAAAAAATAAAACACAAGAGCTTGGTAAAATTCATTTTCTGAAAGTCTTTCTGGCTCCGTTCATTTGTCACGTTAAAGCAGTTAAGCATTAAAAAGAAACACAAAATAAAGACATTGTGTTATTTGTGGTTGGTGTGCTTTTCCTGTTACCAACAAGCTGCTCACCTGGCACTTGTTTTCTCAGAGCCAATGCTCTGAGAATACAGACCATCCACCTTCTCCTCCTCTGATCCCTCTCCTTGGTAAAAGCCAGAGCCTGCCAGGGTTCCACATGGTAGGTTCTCTCTCCAGAAAGCCAACTGGCACTTGAAAAGCACCCTGCACCCTCAGCTTATTCATACTTCCACTAATCTACACTTAATCACTGATGGTTTAAAACAAACACCTCAAACCCCAGGGAAGGAGGGGATTGCTGGCAGTAAGAGGGGAAAACCAACCAAGGGACTTGTGGGCACACATAGGAGCCTCATCAATGGCCACAGATAACAGGGGGGTGGAGTATGAGTAGAGGGTAGGGGGGATAAGAACACATATGTCAAATAATAATAATAATAATATTTTAAAAAAACAAAAAAAATGAACAAACAACAAAAAACTGTTTCTTAAAAATAGGCATCTCCTTATTACCACCCACCCCCTCTAAATCAATATCCTCCAGTGGTCAGCAAACTCATTAGTCACCAGAGCCAAATATCAATAGTACAACGACTAGAAATTTCTTTGGAGAGCCAAATGTTTTAAACTTTATCTATATAGGTAGGTACAGTGTTAATTAACTTAATTAGGGTATTCCTAAGCTGGCCTTTGCTAAAAAAAAAAAAAAAAAAAAAACTTAAGAGGCCAAAGAGCCGCATGGGGCTCGCGAGCCGCAGTTTGCCGACCACTGTACACCAAAGGTGTGTCCCCACGCAGAGTCCTCCCTTCTCTGACAGCCTTTGGGGTCTTGTGGGGGGGGGAGAAATCCATCTTTGGCTGGCAATTTCCTGAATCCTGTCCCTCTAAGTCAGGGTTTAAAAGCGAGCTTCCCGGGGGCCAGGTGGCATGCCCACCCGAGGCGCTGGGCCGAGGAGTGACTGACGACGCACACAGCTTCTCCCCACCAAATCCCTGCGGGTGCTGCACCCAGCTGGACACCGCCAGCTGGCTGCCCCCATTAAAAATAAAAATTAAAAAAAAAGGAGGGGGAAATCTCCAAAATCACAAGTTTAAATTCCCACGTACTAAGAAGAAAAAAAAAAAAAAAACCTGCCAGAGAAGGATGGATTTGAGAGAAACACACACACGTACTCTATTTTTTTTTTTTAACGTAATGATCATTGCAGAAACGAGACAGGCAGCAGCACAGAGCCTGCAGGAAATCGTGTCCATACGCATCTATAGGATATAGATGATACGCATCCTTTTTTTTTTTTTTCCACCACACCCTCTCCGGGCGGCTTCCCAGGCCATCCACAGCCAAAACAGCGTCACGCCGTCTGTCCGGCGGTCCACGGGGAGGAGGAAGAGGGGGTCCCAGCAGCGACCCGGACCTCCCCGGGCAAGAGAAGCCGGGCCGCGGGCGCCGGGGGCCGGCGGGCGTCGCGCGTCCTCCGGGGCCCCCTCCCCCGGGCCCGCCCAGCGCCGCCCGCCGCCCGCCGCCCGCCGCCCCGCAGGCCGCGGCCCGGCCTCCCGCGACCCCGCCGCCGCCGCCGCCGCCGCCGCCCGCCTCGACCTCGCAGCCGGCCTCGCGGGGACCGGGCCCGGGCGGGGCCGGGCGGGGCGGCGGGCCGCGCGGGCCACACACTCACCATGGCGGACAGCCGCCAGCGCGCCCACAGCCCGGAGTCACACGGCGGCAGCAACGCCCGTTGTCCTGGTGACGCCAGCTGGCCGCCCCGCCCCGCCCCCAGGTGGGCTCGGGAGGCTGCCATTGGCCGGCGGCGAGCACGTGACGCCCACAGGGTGGTGCCCTTTGGACCGCCCCCTCGCCCCCCGCTGGGCCTGGGCTCTTGGCCTTCCCTCGTTTGCACCTGGTGGGCCCATCATCACCCTGGAGGACCTGGATACCCCTCACCTGATGGATGAACCAAGCTGCCTGGTTATTGTGGAATTAAAAAAGAAACACACACACACACACACACACACACACACACAAATGTGCCCATTATGCAAGAAACAGTTGACACAGGTGATACATGATTCGTCAAGACGTTTTTTTTAAGTGAACTATAACAAGGAAGAAAAAGAGAACAAAACCATGCTAAAGCCCAGCACCTGAGGTGACCACTGCTTATATTCCAGTTTATCTGCTTCCAAGCTTACAACGTAATTAATTTTATATTACATGGTGTTCTTTAAAATGGAAGCAAACCGCCCTCACCAGTATGGCTCAGTGGATAGAGCATCCATGGCTTTGCCCATTAGATGCCTTCGGAATACCTCCATTTGTGAAAACTAAAATGTCTCCAGGCCTTCCCAGATGTTCTCAGTGAGGAGTCACTGCGCTAGGGTGAACAATGAGGAGCAGAATTGCTGATTTGAGTATCTTTAGATTTACTACACAGAACCAAACTGCATTCCAAAGGACCTGTGACAGAAGTGACATCATGGAATTAGCAGAGTAGGGGACTCTGCTAATTCCATGGCCCATGTTTCTGGGACAGCTTATTGGTATCAGGGAAAGCAATAAATATGGACCTCATTTTTAAATACTGTGGTCATGCATTTGACCTGTCTGGTGGTTTCCTAAGGGACCAGCACAGAGATTAACCTTTATTTTTGCCCCTGTCAGATTGAAGTGGCATTCTGGGTGGCATTTGATGAAAGCACTTAAAGATATATGGTACTCATGGCTGTCCGGGGCAAGGAATGGAGGATGAGGCAAACAGGCAGATCAAAAAGCCTGTGTATGATGAGGAAGATTCTTGGGGGCATAAGAGCTGTGGAGAGCTCCCAAGCACTCTGGGGAATCTGAAGTATGAGATGCATGCCCACGGCCAGACACATGCTCAGAAAAGACCTGAGAGGGTCTGAGATTTACACCTCTGGATGATATTTGGATTCCACAATAAACGGGAGGTGCGGGGCTAAGGCAGAGTTGTAGTCAGTTTGGCTCAGGGCCAATATGCAAAGATGACAGGAGTTTTTTCTGTTTTTGTCTCCAGGCATTTAAGAAAATATCTTCCCATCAGCCCCAGCTGACTGTTGAGATGACAGAACTGAGACTTTAGTGACCACACATGACAATCTTTGCAAAAGCAGTTTGGAAAAGTCACTCAAGCCGAAGCCGGTTTGGCTCAGTGGTAGAGCGTCGGTCTGCGGACTGAGAGGTCCCAGGTTCGATTCCGGTCAAGGGCATGTACATTGGTTGCGGGCACATCCCAAATAGGGGGTGTGCAGGAGGCAGCTGATTGATGTTTCTCTCTCATCAACGTTTCTAGCTCTCTCTCTCTCCCTTCCTCTCTGTAAAAAATCAATAAAAATATTTTAAAAGAAAAAAAAAAAAGAAAAGTCACTCAATGGACAACGGCATCCAGAATCAACAACAGAGAGCCCGGTGGAGGGAAAGAGAATCTATAGACATAGAAAGCAGATTAGCTCCATCATCCCAAAACACCCCACGCCTACCCCCTACCAACTACTATTTTTCATCCTATAGCTTTGTGTTTTTAAGAATATTATATAAGCCTAACCGGTTTGGCTCGGTGGATAGTGCATTGGCCTGTGGACTGAAAGGTCCCAGGTTCGATTTCAGTCAAGGGCATGTACCTTGGTTGTGGGCACATCCCCAGTAGGGGGCGTGCAGGAGGCAGTTGATCGATGTTTCTCTTTCATCAATGTTTCTGACTATCCCTCTCCCTTCTTCTCTGTAAAAAATTAATTTAAAAAATATATTTTTTAAATAGATAGTCTGGCCGAAACCGGTTTGGCTCAGTGGTAGAGCGTCGGTCTGCGGACTGAAGGGTCCCAGGTTCGATTCCAGCAAGGGCATGTACATTGGTTGCGGGCACATCCCCGGTAGGGGGTGTGCAGAAGGCAGCTGGTCGACCTTTCTGGCTCTCTAGTTCTTTCCCTTCCTCTCTGTAAAAAATCAGTAAAATATATTTTTTTAAAATAGATAGTCTGAAATAGACTACTCCATCTTAGTCAACTTCAGAAGTACTCAGTCTAATCTTAACTGATACTTCTGCCTTAGTTGGTTTGGCCAGTGGACAGAGCATCGGCCCACAGAGTGCAGGCTCCCGGCCTTGGTCAGGAATGCGTGGGAAAGGAAGGTCATCAATCGATGTGTCTCTCTCTCCTGTATGGAGTATTTTCCTTCTGCCAGAAGAACACCTTTGGTACTTATTTGAAGGTGGGTGTGATGTTGTGCAGTTTTTCAACACAAAAGGTTCTTATTCTTTCACAAAGAATATTTTACTTAGCACAGACTTGTATACTGGCAGTCATTTTCTTTCTATAATTTAAATATATTGTTATTTTTGTCTTTGGATTTTCATTGTTTCTATGGGTAAACATCCGTAGGTTTTGTTCTTTCTCCTTTGAAGGTAATCTCTCTTTTTTTCTTTAGCACTTTAAGTTTGTTTGGGGGAAGGGAGGAGGGCAGAAGAGAAAGATAGGGAGCAGGGAGGCCTTTGAGTTTTAGCAGTTTTACTAGGATGTGCATAAGTATGGCTTTCTTTGCATTTATCCTTCTTGGCTTTGTATGTCTTCTACTATTTATGGCTTGATTTTTTTTTTATTAGATTATTATATGTGTACATATCTTACCATTGCCCTCCCTGGCTTGATATATTTTATTAATCGAGAAAAACTCTCAGCCATAATCTTCAAACTTTTTCTGTACCATTCTTTTTGTTGTTGTTGTTGTTGAGATAGCATATCGAGACATGGGATCTTTACTTAACAATGTCACACTTCTCACTGGGCATTTTTATTTTTCCATAACATAAAGGAACTATAACCTTGCCCTTGCCAGTTTGGCTCAGTGGATAGAGAATCCTCCCATGGACAGAAGGGTCCTGGGTTCCATTCCGGTCAAGGGCACCTACCTCAGGTCTGAGATTAAAAATGTGGGTGTTTTGAGTCCGAGTTCTTGTCTTTCGAAAATCGAAGGATGAAGTCCTAGGACAAAAATGATGAATGGAACCAAAGATTATTGTGAGGAGCCAGTCCTAGAAATGGAGCAGCTGGGGTCCCAGGAGCAGGCCAATGTCCCGAGCTTCCTTTCCATGTTACAGCTCAGCATCCGAGCCAATTAACGTCCTTTAGTCCAAGTGTGGAGGTCCCATGACCTTCCCCACGTGGTTGCAGGGATGCTCTCCTCTCCACAGGACCACCGGTATCCAAGGGCGCTGAGCCAGGGGAGAAGCTTCTGTCCCATTCTTACTCTCCTTCCCTTCTAGCAATTAAACTACCAAATGTTTGATCGTCACACATTCTCTATGTGTGTAATTTTCCTTTTCCATTTTATATCTTCTTCCTTTGTTTCTTTATGCTTCTTTCAACACACAACTCCAGCTCACTAAATCTCTCTTCAGCGATATTTAATCTGCTATTAAAAACACCCGCTCAGGTTTTCATTTCAGTTTTAATTTTTAGTTGCAGACTTCACTTTTTTGAAATTTTTATAGTTCCTAGTTCTCTGTCAAATTTCGCAGGCTCTTATTTTATCTCCCTGAATATGATGAATAGAGTTAAAGTCTGTAACTGCTTTTGTTTTCACTCTTTTTTTCTTCTTTTGGTCTTTAATGTGCCTGTTTATTTAAAATTGTAGGCCAGATATGTAATTTATCTACAGAATGAGGTATTCTTCCTCTAGAGAAGTTTTTATTTATTTCTGGTAGGCACTTGACACACTTCTAGCAATATGAGCTGACCTTCAGCCAAATTCAGTGACTAAAATTATTCAAAACTAAGCTGCAATTTCTGCAAGAACCTGCCTTTTCTTGGATAACCTTACTACCACGGTGGTGCATTGAGATTCCAACACAAAGCAAAGGAGCACCCCCTTGGCTGAACCACGTCCTTTTCCTGTCTCCTTAGCCTGACTAGGCTATCCAAAGAGTCTTCAGCTTCACATCCTCTCAACAATCCCTTCTATAATAAGTAAATGATCCCCCAAAAGAAGAGAGGTTTTAATCAATAGGGTCATCTCTCTGAGCTGCTGCCCTTCCATGGGTCCTACCCTAACAATTGTACACTATGTTATTAGCTGCTTGGTGTCTTTAAGTAGATGTTATCGGATCTTGTACAGATTTATAAATTGTTCTTATCCTCAGAAAGAGACTTACCTAAGTTATTTCACCATTACCAGAAGTGAAATTCCCTTAAACCATTTCTATTTATGTCCTGTAGAGATACAGATATCATTAGCATAAATAAATAGAATATAGATATAGGTACTAAGTAGTATTGTCTAAAGTATATATTTTTACATGAACACTATCATAATGTGTATTTAGTAAATGTATTTATTTTCTTAACAGTGTGTCTTCAACTGCCCTATTCTTGTTTGGATAATACTCACTAAACTCATAATGATGGATATCCCAGGTAGGGTATATGTATGTATTTGGTTCTGGTGGTAGTCAAAGGATACTTTGGCTTTTTATATAACATCTTGATTTTTTTTTTTTGTAAGGTGAATGAATTCATTTTGACTTCTATAGTTAAAATTTTTGAAAAACAAGTAGAGTGATATTGGTGAAAAGAGCATTTTGGAGTAGAAACAGAAGATCTTTGGATAAGAACATCATTTTGCCTGGCAACTTCTTTAGCATTTGGGGGTTATTTTTAACATATTGTGTCTATAGTAGCTTTTCCCCTGCAGCATTTCAAAAGATCCTACTGCTCCATTTCCTCCCAATAGTTTGGTCCATATCACCACCTAATCAATCCATGCAGTGCCCTCTGTTCACTGGTAGCAGAA